GGATTGACTGTATAGCCAATACATCTTTAACGCGTAATTTCTAATATTCCGAGAAATCGCGAAATCGAATCTTTCACTTGTTTTAATTCTCCATGAAGAAGCAAGTATTTAGTCTTGTAAGCTGGTTTGTGAAGAAAAAGAATGAAATGGTTCTCCTCGGTAGCACCCGGTTCCTTTATGTTTTCTCTTTGAAATGTAAACCTGACGTTTCCTCTACATCCGACGGAGTGTATAGATTTTTATCCGAAAACAAGGGAAGAACATAACACTCGGGGTGTCCGCGGCACTTAAACACGGATCCGAGTCGAAAGAACACTCATACGTTAAGAAAACATACTCGAAACTAATATTAACTGCGGGTTGGCAACATCCGAGAGGATCGTATTAACGAGCTCTTAGAGCAAGATCACAGAAAGAATGCCATGTGGTCGCAGCTGGCGGTGTGTACCGTTGTTAGTCGAACATGATTTCTCTCTCTTCTATTTTTGCAGTACGCGCGATAGAATGAAAAGAGGATTGCACTATCCGCTTCCGACCGATATCATATTTTTAGTTGTAACCGAAATCGAGATCACCCTCTTGGACGCAACTCTGCTGGCCACGTTTCACGAACAAACGGAAAGTTTCGCGTTCGAAGTGTAGCCAAATCTTAGCGAACAAAGGCGTGTCAAAGGAAAAAAAAAAAACATTTGGTAGAGAAGATTCTTTTTTTCTTACGGACGATGAAAGAAACGAACAAGTTTAAATTTACGTTCGACTGGTAAGCAGTGCACGCGTGAAACGCAGCAAGGAATTTGCTCTAATGAGCGTGGAACGGAGGGGTGTCACTTCGGGGATCTCGTCCCTTTTTCTCATCGGCATAGACAGCTTCGCCGCCGAGGGTGTTGTCGGTACAGCAAATATGTTGACAGGTCATTCAACATCTTTCCAACGTCAGACCGCGGTGAATCTTCGGGTGAAGACGCACGACCGAAGAGATGTTGCACCTCAGAATATCCATAGCTAAGATTGGCCCTAACTCCATGAGAAGAAATTTTAACAAGAAAATCATTAATTCTAGAACGATGTTTTATAATTAATAAAATAAGCGATGGAATAAAGTCCAAATTTATTATGTACTCTGATTCTGAGATTGTTTGACCCTTTCGTCGAGTTGTCCTCCTACGGCAGCTACGTCAGAATAACAAAGAAGTCATTAATTGATTTTATTATTAGACTTTGTTAAGTAATGGCTTATCCATTCGTCGAAGAGGTATTATAATCGAGTATCGGTAGTAGGCAACGTTCTCGCCGGTCCTGACAGTACTTTGACATTTGCAAATCGGCACACTTTGCATTTGTTCGCGCTGTCCGAGGGCTGTAACCGCGACACGGTTATTCCGCGGGATTCTGGTATCCGTAAATTAATAAATCCATCAATCTGACGGCTGCTGAAGCCCCGCGCGGTTGAAAATTATCGCGGCCCAGCTCGACGCGTGCCTCTCAAATGCGCGCACGCCAGGAGAGGAACAAAGCGGGCTGGCCTCGAATTTGTAAACATGTTATGTAACTCAAAATTAAAACAACGACAAAATCGAGAGTGACCAAGGAACACTGTTACGTCGGCCGAATAAATTCGATTTCATCCGAATAATTCATCCAAGTAGTATTATTGCCAGTTGTAATGCGACCGTCAACGAGGGAAATGTGCCACTCTATCTTCGGTAAGATATGCAAAGGCACGTTCAACGGGAATTCAAACGATACATCAGACTTGAAGATTTTCATTTAAACTGTCCAGTCGATTCTTTCGTTTTGCTAATTTTCGTTCACCTCGCTTTGACGCATGTAGGGTATTTTTAATCCGTTCCTGATGCGTTATCATCATTCTTCTAACGTGGGTGTAACGCTGGTGAATAACCAGTGACAGAAAGTTAATTGCGATGCCCCACTGTACCACTAATTTCGGCTGGTACTTGGGCAAGTTTCTCGTAGGTTTCACGGGAATGTTCTTCTTTTACATGGTTTTCCTGAAAGAGAGGTGAGTCTCTGCCACGAGGCAGCAGAACGACAAACAGAACGATCATGCGAATGCGTATTATTGTTCCAGGGAATATCGTTGCTTGTGCAAACCGAGGATGAGGGAGTTTCTACAGCGGAAAGGGCAAAAGTGAGTCGCGTTGGTCATACGTGCGAGATTCCTCGGAAATATTTATTGTTACTCGTGAAAAATTGCATGTCCATTTCTTATTTGAAATATTTGAAATCGTCGATATTGGATAAAAATCCGAAAGAACATCACGCATCGTATGACCAGCAATGAAATATGTACGGCATAATCATAAGTTCTAATACTTAGTACTAATTTCTGCCCTTTAGACCAGGCAGATGCGACTGCAGTATCGGGTAAGCATTAAAACATTGCCTAATTTGTTAGACTGTGGATTTTATGCACTTACTATTGTCTCCCGTCACGAACTTTCGTCTGTTACTCCTCGAGTCACTATAAGGAAGTAGAGGAAGTATCACACCGAGATCTTTCATCTCCTCTTCATCCCCTTCTTCTTCCACGCCTCACATCATCTCCTCTATCGTCACTCTTACATTCTTTTTATAAGAATACTTAAATGATAAAGAAACCTGTTTAAAATTCTTCAATCTGTTACGATAAACATTTTATTTTGCACACAAATTCGCAGTCTACTAATTATTACTTATGTTAGACCATACAAAACGAAAAGTAAACTTTCGTTTTAGGAGCCGGAACAAAACATATTCTTGCGGGTGTAAGAAACGTCTGGACATGTAAGAACGCGTTACCGTGAATTTCCTATTAAATTAAACAGAAATCTGATTCAGCATTGCGCGTAACGATATGATTTGTTAGGGTGTACCAAGATTCGGAAATGGTTCGTGGAGAACGATCCGGCGAGGATTTCGGGGACTGCATTTGCGTTCGAAAGAGACCTACTTAAAAATGACAATGGTAATTTCGACTTCACCAGCAAATCGCTGTAAGTCTTGCCATCGTGAACTATCGTCGCGATGCAACAGTTGAATGATCTCGTTGCTCGTTTCGTTTTCCAGACGTCTCCTTGGTAAATTGCGTGTGCTCCATGTCATTACTTAATCGGAAGGACAAGGTAACCGATGTAAAACCTTGTCGCGTTTGTCGAGAATCGTTGCCTTATGTTCTGTTCTTTGTTCTTCGTTTCATAGCCGACAGAATCGAACACAAGCGTGCGAAGAAAACGACAAGTTAAACAGTGTCTCTTTCGCCACTGCAGCGGACTCGTATGCGCCCAAAAATTATTGAGAAGGAGAAGAAACAAGCAACACTGCGTCCACTTACGCGTTTCCCAGGACGCGATTCACGGCTATTGGAACGTACGTAATAAATCGACAGACGATAGTATCAGAGATAAATACAGTCCGGACACGAGAGCAAAGGGTGAAAAAGTGGTGCTCGAAAGTATGAAAAGTTACTGCGAAATTGAACATAAAGAGAGGACGGCTCCGAGAAGAAACGATGATTGTACGAAGGAAATGGTTCTTTTGACCCAGTCGACGAATAAAGAGAAATCGAAGTTGGCAACGTTTCTTAAATCATCGCGTGTCAGATTTAATAAGCGTTGCAGTGATCAAGATGTTTCTCGGACGGTAGAAGCTAACATCGTGAAAGATATCTGCTACGATAAGACGAGGCTGTTTTCGAAATGCGTTAACGAAGGCAACCCTGACACATTGGAAGAGGGAATTAATTTATATTCAATTAATAATACCGACGCACCGAGAAATTCGGAAAAAGCATCGGACAAGAAACGTTCGCACAGCGACACAAGCTTCAGCGAGACTGTGCTCACCGACAACTGTGTAGATTCGATTTTGTACCGTCAATTGCGGAAGACGTGTGTCCGTTCTGTTGAAACGAAACTGGCGGAGGATCGTTTGGGTGTTGATAAAACGATCGAGTTGAAATTGACGCCCATGTCCGAGCTGGAGAGGATCGAGAAGATCAGTTCGCATTTGGAGAACGTTAACAGGACCGTGAACAATTTCTTGGATGACGTGCGAACGTTTTCGTTCAAACAAAGGCAGCAATACAATTTACAGCATTCTATAAATAAGCGCGAATCATCTTCGAGATTGCCGAACAAGTTCCCATCTCGTAACATCGAAATTGCCCGGAATTCGCAACAGGAGAGTATCTCTCCGGTTTCTTGGCACAAGAGCACGACGAGTCAGAAGCTTCGAAAATACCTGTGTCAGGATTGTTACTGCGAGTCGAAGTTAGTTAGCAAAATTCTCGTCCGTAAACTAAATAGTATATATGTATATTTATTAATCGATTCCTTTTCGGGCTAAAATCTTATCCTGTCTTATATCTATCGTATACTATCTTCCTTAGTTTAGTCCCTTACGCTCTTACCCTCGCGTTCTAAGTACAGATGGCTCATTGGATTCCCGACCCACTTCGCACGCACACATAGAAAATACACTTCACTAGCGGCGACGCATAGAAAGCACTAAATTTTCCATGTATGGGTGCGAAGTGCGACCGGAATCCCTTGAGTTACCCTACGTTTTACTTTTAACCCTTAATAATCTTTCGCTTTTTTCTTATTCTGCCTCTCTCGTTATTTCACGTATCGCTTTGTATCATTTCTTCTCTCTGCCCATTATCTTCATCAATTTCCTGATTTCTCTCCGTTTTTATTTCACTCCTCTCTCTCTCTCTCTTTCATATTTTGGACCATCTACTCCTCCCGTTTCTCTCTTTTTCGTCTGTGTACACTCCTCCAGCACATGAATCTTCCATACCCCATGCATACCTCCTACATTTACTTTTCTCTTCGTCTTCCCAGTACTTCCTTGCTCTCATTTCATTCCAGCCTAAAACACGCTCTTGTCTCCCATTCGTTTCCTTTCCTTCCCCTTCTCAGATAATCATCCCCTTCCCCTTTTAGCTTCCATTAAAATATAAATCGTTCAAAATAAATTGTAATTTCAGAACACATAATTACAATAACACGCAGTGGAGTAGCAGCAGGAAACGGTCATCATCCCCCCGATTGAGCCCCTATCCTTCGCATCATCCCCGATACAGAATGACGTACCCGCAGTCGCCGAGAAACGATTATTCATTGGAATGCTTAAGGCCGAAGAGAAAAATCGATTCGACAGTGTATCACAAACTCTACTCTAGTGAGAATCGTTCGTCGAGGCAGAGGCTTTCCCGAGAAAAGCCGACGCTACTCATTTACAAAAATAGGAAGTCGAACAGGCTGAATTCGACGAATTCGGCGTACAGTTCATCGAGTTCCGCTCGCAATAGTTCTGTAACGTGTCGATGCTCGACTTGTAAGTCATCGCGCTATTCGATGCACTCCAGCAATCGGTACAAGCGCAGTGGAAACACTACGGAAATCGATTACGATCTCCTGTCCTCGTTGTCGAGCTTCTCGTGTAAACGGTGCCGATCTTGCTCGATGTTGACCCAGAATTCCACTAATGACAAGCGGGAAAGAATCTCCTCTTCCTCGTGCGCCAGCGTCTGTCGATGGACTGGTACACATCCCGCAGGAAACGAGGAGAAAAGCAGTCCGTATCTTTCTTCCACTTCCTGTTCCTGTTCGTTGTCATCGCTGTCGACGTTCAGGGACGATTATAATTCGGAAGGGACGAACGGTGAACCGGAGAAAATCGAGAGGCCGTGGATCGGCGCGGGGTGTCGAAAATTGAAGAGGAAAAAAATATTGTGCAAGGACAAATATCACGTTAGATGGAATTATTAACGAAACAACAAAATGGCATCAAGATAGGATATGTGTATTTTAACAATAAGAGAAGCGACTGCAGTCGTTTGGAAACTAGAAGTTACCATCCTCAATGTAACGTTTACGTCCCAGAATGATTCTTTTAACAAGAAACCATCGATAAACGGGGAATTCAAGCGTGAACTCGGTTAAATCGTAAATTTATCGTGCGACGATGAAACGCAGGCAACAACAGTAACAGAACCACGGGTAATTGACAGGTACCGAGTTAGCGGTGAAACTCCGTGAATAAATTAGACGTGGTGCAAAGGGGCGACGCGTCTCCGTTTGGACGCTTAGAAAATCTGAAACTCGATTAATATGCGTCGTGTCCGTAGGTGAAGAGTCTATAAGTAGACCTTCCACGGACACGAACGTCACTCATATTCATATATTACGTTCTGACCCGGGTAGACGAGACCTTCCTTTACGCTAACGAGATATCCGCGATGGTTAACACTATACATGCATCACGCGACGCACCGGTATACGTCTTTGCCAAAAGTCTCAACCATCATTCGACCGGACCGTCGAAAAGAAGAACAATTCTCCTGTCGTGCGTTTTTTAATGTATATATTACGTATCTTTTTTTTTTATTATTCGTAGATAACGTGCATGGATTATTTGTTTGATAAATAAATCATCTTCTCGATATATTCTGATACTCGTTGCTTTTTTTTTCATATTTACTTAAACTAATTTTTGTAAATTTGTCCTAATTCTTGTTCACGTAATTCCACTCACCGGTTTTTTTGTGTGTAATCTTAAACCAGTAGAAACTGACGTGAACAGGAATTGGGGCACTCGTGCTAGGTTTAAAAATTCGGCCACTATATTGCTATTAAAAATCTGCAATTAAATCGATTGATCTGGGGAAAGGAATTGACGTCCGCGCAGCGGGTAATGTCTTTTTTTGAAACTTCTCTCGTCTTAATCTTCTCGAGAATCTCTCTGAATGGCAGGCTTTGTAAAGGAAACGTCGCAGCTGCGTCCCTTTCGCCTCGTATTTTGCACGCATTCCGATGAAATAAAACGAGAACGGCAAGGGTGCCGACTTCAACCGCGAAGAAGAAATATTTCGAAACGGGATGTTAAATGAGCGAACTGTCCAACTGTCACTCCCGTCTAGTACCCAGTTTCTTTAGCACTTAACGAAAATATGAGCCAAAACGAATCTATATTATTTTCGTTCCTCATGTTACAAATATACGCGTTACACTTATACTCCAAATTTTCTTTGTTAAATGACTTGATCACGAAATTATATCACCTCGCTCGTCGTTTTAGTCTGCGTGGTAAATAAGTATATTCATTTACTTTATTTCTTTCTTAGAAATACAACGTATACACATGTGTATATAATACAAAATAAATTATATATATTAGTTATCGAAGCAGATATTTCGAATAAGGGATAACTGCGTTTTGCTTAAAACATTCACCGATCCAATCACTTTTGCTGATCGTCAACGTAGGTGAGATGCCGTCAATGAAATCCTGAAGTTCAGGAGAAACATTATCATTATTAATAAAAACGTGCGTCACTGAATCATCGATAGACTCTTTAATGGTTCCAGCCATGAATTGAAACTCGTATTTCGTTAAGTCCGATTGATCCTTGAAATACCCCACGATACCACGGAACATGGAATGAGGCGAAACTCCGGTATCGAATAGTTCTTCAATTCTTTTAAACGAACGTAACAACGTCTCTTCGTCAGCGTCGATGGTGTAATGATCATAGTAATCGTCGTAGTATTGTGCCAATCGATTTTTCGTCGACTCGCGGCTGCTTAGTAATTCCCATGGTAAGAAATCTCCTAATGAGGACCAATTTTCCTCTTTGGTAACTCGTCTGAACCAATCTACTGTCACTACATCGTATTCCTTGCTTCGTATGAAATGATTTGCCCTCGGCTAAAAAATTTTATTCATTTCGGTTACAAGCATCGTATTTGTTAATGAAAATTAAATAATAAATTCACCTTTCTCACATCGCCGACGATAATGCAGTAAGTTTCTTTTAAAGGACTCTGCACGACTTTCGCCTTATGCTGCGAAAGAATTATTTCAATTTGTTCTTTCGAGAACTCGTCGTCGCCGTTAACTACGCAGATTTCTTTATTTTCCAAAAGTCGGGTAATATAAGTTGGCGGATTGTCGTAAATAGTAAAGTTCGACATTTTCTCTTCAACCTTTATAGGACGTCGTTTTGCTGCTTTAGGTCTTTTAACTTCAGACGGTTCTTCAATGTCTTCGCAATTTGCCTCTCGCTTTGTCAACTTTTGAATTGGTCGCGCATCCTATTTAGAATTAATGATAAAATACCTATACGGGAACTTACACCTTAATTATATACCTTGATTAATGATGACAATTCATCAGTTGTACAAACGCTGTGCCACGGTTTATCGGTTCTAACGCACGTAACTCTAGGAAATCGCAAACTGTATCCGGTTGGATAATCATTGCTCGATGTAATTTCCGTAGCTCGGATCGTGAATATAATAGAATTTTCAGGACGAATCCATAAAGTTGGCGGATCACGCTGGCATATTAATATTTCTAATAAAATATCAGGAGTGAATTAATGAAATTAATAAAATTACTCACTCTGGGAGGGAGCACGTTCTCTGGGCACTCCGCTTGCCATTTATCTTCAAACATTTTCCCAAGTTCCTCCAATGTGTTTCTAGGCAAGCCGTTGCTGACCGACACTACAGAAAAAAACTTTGCCGGATTTTCACCGGGAGCAGTCGGAGGAGAAGCTACTCCCATCAAGAAGCTTTTTATTAAACCGATAAAGCTTCCTTCACCGTAATAACCGCCGAGGATAATCAGATCCACGTCTTGCACCAAACCGTCTGAATACTAAGAAATCATTGATTAGGAAAATAAATTAACACCGGGAGAAAAAAAATATTTGACAAATAATTACTTCGGCTTTTATTTTATAACAACCGGTGCCTACTCTTACGTTTGGTCTATATTTACTGTCACATTTTTTTAACACAATCCCTTCCTCCTTATCCTTCATACTTCTATTGAATCTTTTGCATAATTGCTCGCTACAAAAGGAAAACATTTTATTCTGTTCTGCAATGGTCAATGAAGTTTAATTACCTATTGCTAATTTTGTTTGATTCAGCTAGTAAGAGGCATCCTTCCTCCTCCTTAAACGCATCTTTTAAAATTTCTAGTCTCTTCTCATAAGGCTCGTTATTAAGTAATTCGTCGTTATACAAAATAATATCATATGCGACGAAACATGGTTGATGATGACTCTTCTCCGTTAATTTCTTAACGTCATAGTTCATTCCCTTTGAGCCTAATTCCTTTCTCGTTTTATGCCAGCCTATTAATTCCCCGTCTAGGATTATCGACTTGACTTGCGAATTTAATAATCGGCCCAACACGCTACTCATAAATCCTAAAATAAATTGTCGACATGAGCATCGTACGAAGCAAGCTCTCAACTAATTGTAAATTTAAATTTGTCTTTACCCGAAGAATTACTTTCCCCGTAACCAGGATTATTTGTAATATCATATCCTTGTCTCGTTAAGTATTTATATTTCCCATCTTTCATATGTATCTGAGATCGTTCGCCATCGTATTTGCATTGCACGATGTACTGTTCTCCGTTAGCGAAAAGCTTGTCTGCATCTTCGATCTGATATCTTTCCAGCAACATAGGTTTAAAATGAGAAAAGATCTTAATACCCTGCTGGTGTCTCGAGAAAGGATCTTGCAATGTATCGCAAACTTGATGCAAGTCGGACGACACCTCGAACATAGAATTCGCGTCCGGATGATAAACTGAAGATACAGAACATTGTCAGAAATTGCATCAATTAATTATAGTTTGTTTAATTCTAATGAACCTGCAAATATTTTCTTATCCCCGATGCCGAGTCTCAAATCTTTTAAAATGATTCGCGTTATCCATTTGAACTCCAACCCATTCGTTTTCCTTAATAGAATTTTAAACTTCTCTTCCTTTGAGCCGATGTCAGTTTTCGACGATATATCGTCCAGAAATAAATTGATACGCTCGATCGTAAAGTCGGAACTCTTGCGCGGCAACCGATTTTTTAATATGGACAAAGCTCTTTCCGCGAAATCGCATCCTGTGATTTTACTCGAGACCGAAGTTCTAAAACAATTTTTTTTATTAATCTAATCTTCTTTTAAATATTCACGATGATAATAGAAATATCGAAGAATTATTGAATCAATGATCTCACTTGTACTGTTTAAGCGAGTTCGCCTGATTCGTTCCTAAACAAAATACACGGGTGTAAAGAGCAGCAAGGGACTTGTGTTTCAAGTCGTACGCGCCGCGTTCTCGTTCCAGGCGCGGTAAAATTAGTCTCAGTATAGGAAAAAGCGAAACGTCCTAAATAGAAGTTAAACGAATGTAGTCTAAAATACTCTCGATTACAATATAACATGTAATACAAAGGAAATTAAGACCTGTACCGTCTCTGGAGGCAGACTTTTCAATTTATTACGACACTTCGAGATAAACTTTTCCAAAGTATCAGTTTTCTTTTTTTCGCCGCTTGCTTTTGAGACTTCTTCCAATACGGTACATAATTCTTCGAACTTAACATTGCTGGCTATTGTTTCGCTCATTCCGTTTCTACAGATTGAGAACGAATAAAATATTAATTATACAGAGTGTATAGAAAATTTTAAGAGAAAGTGAATTGGATGAAAAAATATCCAAATTTTTATAAAATATTTACATATTTATTTATAAATGTTCGTACATAAATTACAAAACAATGATCTTAAACTGTAATATAGTTTTCCAGGTACATTCTTGCTAATAAATAATTGTCGGATTGTAAATAAATAAGATGTAAATTAAACGCAGCTTCTTTCTTCAAGTCTAACAATAACGGATTCTCTTTAACTAACTCCCCGGGATCTTCCTCTAATACTAATTTATAGAAATGCACAGCCGCAGGTAATAAACCGACTTGATGGAACGCTCGGCCCATGTTATAATACGTTTCCTGTTTACCATCCTCACCACGTAGTTGCGAATATTTCTTCAAAAAGGCAACGGCTGAAACAAAATGCAGTAGATGAAATGCAGGACACATTCAAGTTAAGAACATCGCCTATACACACAAGAAAACTAATGTCATTAATAAAATATAATTACCTTGGATTACGAGTTGATTTTTCTTAACAGACAATTTCTGGCATGCCATTTGTATTAAAGTTACACCAATAAGCAACGCCAGCAACGCGCTAGGCACTACTTTGAAGAGGGAAATGTAATCATGAAGAGCGTATTTATATGTTCCGGAAATAAGGCAATTATTCGCGTGCATTATATTTAAATAAGAAAACACGTCTTCCCTGCCAAGAAGGCGCATTATAAACCTATTATGTCTAGAATCTTCTGCTCTCTGCACGATGATATTTAGTAGATTCCAAGAATTGGATTTTGGTATGTCACGTAGTAATTGCCGGACGATATTATAACCGTGGTAGGAATCGTTGTTGTAAATGCAGGAAAGCAAACATAAAAACATGATATGATAGATTCTCTTTTCGAATCTCTTCGACGTCAAAGCGCTGAAACAAATTCTTTGAAGCAGGCCGTATCTTTGTAACGTGCAAGCCAATTTGCACATTTGTAAAAGTAACTGGAACTCTTTCTTTTCGCTTAATTCCGGACTATCTAGGAACGAAGGCGCGTTCTCCTCCTCAATTTTTTCACCGCAATGCAACCGGTGAAGTTGCAACGATTCTAAACGCTGCCGCACAGCAAACGGTCTTGTCAGTGCATTTAATTCAACTTTGTTCCTTATGTACGCGCAATGTCTAGAGAAGAGTAGCATTCCGGATTTAAAATACTCATCGTATCTTTTCACTTTGAAGAGAAGCAACGTTCTTTGATAAATGACTAGCGGGTCTAAAGTATCTGACTCTCGATCCTGATGAAGGACTTCTATCGCCTTATTATATCGACCCTTCAACTGATAAAGTTTAGCTAATGCTGTTCTTGCGCCTAAATGTTGCGGTGACAATTCTCTGACGATTTCGTACGATTTTATTGCCTTTTCCAGATCCTTGCAACCAACCCAGCATTCCGCGTGCCTCAACCATACGGCGGCTAAGCTATAATTATTGCTATTAACTAAAGGATCCAACAGTCTCAAAGCTTTTTCAAATTCCTTTTTCCCCATTAAAGCTTCCGCTATGTCTAAAAACAGATCGCCAGAAATGTCTGGATTCTCGTGTAGGTAAAACTTAGGCAAGAGATCTTCAATCTGTTTCATTTGGCTCAATTCAATCAGGGTGACCAAAAATTTTGCCTTTAAATCAACGACGACATCATCCGGGATTCCACAAGATTCTATTTCATTTATATTAAATTCGTCCGATTCCTCAGTCTTCTCACTTCCTAACTTCTTCGTTACTACTCCTGTATCTTGTTTCTCATCGGGATTTTTATATTTTACCCAAATACGGGTGTACATTGTCAAAATATACAAGCACCTTTTAAACTTCTTTAACGTTATTAGAATTTCAGTCATAATATTAACTTCCTCCAAAGTAATGAAACTAGGACATTTTGAAAAGATGTTTTCCATCGCTTCCAACGCTTGTTCATTATTATTCTCCTCCATATATCTTTTTGCTAACATTTTAGCATACTTGATTATGTTCTCAGCATCATCAGGTTCCAACTGATGAATCAATTTCAAGAATCCTTTTAAGTAGGCTCTCCTGTCTCCGTTTTGATCTAAAAGTTCCGCTCGCGCTTCGTACAAAGTTACGTCTTTCGGGTTCGCTTGAATCGCTTTGTTGTAACACGTTATAGCTTGCTTTATGTCTCCACTTTCCAGCGACAAGTTAGCTAATCTCACCCACTGATCAGCATCTTTTGGGCTGAGATGCGCTGCTATCAAAGCAAATTGCAATGACTTCTCTGGCTGATCTGCTTCATATATCATTGCCAGCGTATGAAATGGTTCTGGCGCGCTCGGCACTTGCCTGTTAAAGAAACAAAACATCTATATTGCTCGTTGCTATTAAAAAATTAGATATTGCTTCAAAGAACACCTGCCTAATTATCTCCATACATATTTTAGCAGCCAATTCTATATCTCCTCTAGCAAATCTTAAATTCGCTTCACCCATGAGACCTTGAAGCACTGGAGGAAGCGCTCTCTTCTTCCTTTTGTAATGTGTCTGCCCTCCAGATTGTGACTTCAATGTTTTGCAAGGAACTGTTATATTTGTTTCTATTCCTTCATTTTCTACATCGTTTCTACAAACAAAATCTCTTTAACAGATGGTTCGTGAGAACACAGAAAATCGTATCAGGCTATTACCGAGAAGAATCAGTCTCTGTAGTTTCTAAGTCAACACCCGGATCCATTCTGGACGAATACTCAGAGAATGTTAACTCTCCATTTAAAAATTGCTTCGTCAGATGGTCTTCTTCATCTGGAGTCAGTAATACATTAGAATGTTCAGCTTCTGTAGCATTGTCCACAGCAGAGTCGCTTTGCTCAGAATAAACTTCTGACATAACAGTCTGTGGCATGTTTGTGATCTCTATAGCTTTCGCCTCGACGAATTCTGTTAGGTCAACATCCATGCTAGATATTGCGGACTCATCCAGTTCTTCTATAATTACTGGGGCTATCGTGCTTTCTTCATCGATCTCCATTTCTTCTGTTTCATTTGACAATGAAATATCCAGTTTGCTCAATGGTTCGTCTCCCATGTTTGTATCCATTTTAAAATCTATTATAAAAATTATTCATTTTTCTAGTTGTGTAAATACACAAATGTGTAAACATCAATAACTTGAACTGTCACATGTGATAGGAATACCATGTGGTGTACGTATCTTGAATAATACCGCACGGTTTAAAATGGAACTCCGCGTATATAATGTGATTAATAATTTATATACATATTTTTCTACTGTTACACGTACATATTCTTAAATATTTATATAAACAAGTTGTTAGTTGAATATGTAATGAAACTTAGGTTATCGTTTAAATTGTTTACCCTTTGCTGAAGTTTATCCCAGAATGATTGGCTTCAAGTCCTCTGTTTGAACGTAATTTTATAAATGGAGATGTGTCTCAGAAACATAGGCCACAATTAACTTACTCTGGCAAGATAATATTAATAAAGCTGCGGTTCTGACACTGACATCACATCACTATAGTATATGTGAACTCTTGTATGCTCTTGTAGTAAACAACAGTACGATAACAATTTGTATTATTATCATGATTCGTTCCTCCGTTGTTCATCGTTACAATTCTTGTACAATAAAGTATACGACTCGTTATTCAGAGAAGTAAGGGACGTAAAAATATTAAACGAAAATGCATGCTTCGAACATTTCACTATTTCATTTGTGGTGGACTTTTATTTTACGAACGTTGAGGTTATGACAACGTCAAAACAAGATTTTAATAGCAAAGAAACATCTTTCCGCCGTTTTTATACTTTGTTCAAACATTAACTAAGATAAGAAGATACCGTATTGTCTTGTTACTGTTCGAAACGTTTGAAAGAAGCATGGTTAGAAAAAGTACAATTTAATAAATTATGTTTTTCTACTACATGTAAGTTCTATAAATTGCAGTAGCATGAACTCCTCTGATAATCAGATAATTATTTATGGAATACATTGGGAACTAATTCTGTTTTAACATTTTTCAGCTGATGTTAATAGTATGAAGCCACATACATGTTGGCTATATGTCTCCTTATTATTAATACTTGGTATCGTGATTCTTTCATCTCATAATCAAGTAAATTGCTTGTTACAAAGCAATAATCTTGTAAACTCTAAGCATAACACTATAACCAAGTCACCGTGCTGTGGCAGTAATCCTGAACAAGTAAAACTTCATTTCGCCAGCAGAATCATTGAAAATGAATATATTGTTGCGTTCAAAGGCTATTATAAGCCACATACGCGCGAGAATTATATAAAAGCTGCATTGAACTCGTCTGGGATACACAAGTGGAAAATTTTATTTCGTAATAACTTAGCTAGTAATTATCCTAGCGATTTTGATGTCGTTCTTCTGGAAGAAACGGATAAACATAATGGCTTGGATGCTTTGACCGATCATCCTCTCATTAGGAGGGTAACTCCTCAGAGACTCGTACAAAGGAGTTTGAAATTTATTAATGCGTCGGAAGATGTTGATTTCGCAGAATATAAAAATTTCAAAAGAAAGATCAACAATTATGTAAGTCTGAAAAGCCAGCTTTGTAATCTTTATTTAGGATGCAAACTCGTAAAGTATTTATTGTACGATAAAAATTTTTAAACAAATATTGCATGGGGAAATGTGCGAAAAGATTGGGCATTCTATTTAAGAAACTGAAGGTGATCCTCATATCTCGATAAAAAAACAAAGAAACAAAAATAGATGAAAGCACTGCATGTCTCCTTGGAAGCCATGCAACGTTTAAAAATTTTTATCGTACAACAAACACGTTAGGAGTTATTCAAGGAGACTCGTTCTACATATCGAACACTGCAACAGTTTCCCTTATCGTAAATTCAATTTGAATTTTAGAATAACCAGTTTTGGCAATCAACCAATCGTCATACATCGCGTAGATTATTAAGAGCTATACCGAGACAAATTACAAGTATACTTCAAGCTGATGCCCTATGGGGTATGGGTGTTACTGGGAATGGTGTTAAGGTAGCAATATTTGATACAGGACTAGCAGCTAGTCATCCACACTTTAAAAAAATTAAAGAACGTTCGAACTGGACGAACGAGAAGACGTTAGAAGATGGTTTAGGCCATGGAACATTTGTAGCTGGAGTTATTGCTTCATCTTGTATAGACTGCCTTGGCTTCGCTCCAGATGCTGAGCTTCATATATTTCGCGTATTCACGAACAGCCAGGCATGTTCCTAATCATTTTCATTTTTTCCTTACAATTAATATCAGGGCTTAAGGGAATTATTTATCTTAATCTTTCTATCAATTGATGCCCTCCACAGGTATCGTACACATCATGGTTTTTAGACGCATTCAACTATGCTATTCTTACAAAAGTTACAGTATTGAATCTTAGTATTGGAGGACCAGATTTTATGGACCATCCATTTGTTGACAAAGTATGGGAGCTAACAGCAAACGGTGTGATTATGGTATCTGCAATTGGCAACGACGGGCCTTTATATGGGTAAAAAGCTGAATATTTTTTTAAACCCGTTTCTTTAATAATAATACGCAAATGATGAAATGTATTCCGATTTCGTACAGTACCTTAAACAATCCTGCCGATCAGATGGACGTTATCGGAGTGGGTGGGATTAATTGGGAGGATCAAATAGCAAGATTTTCGTCACGTGGCATGACAACATGGGAATTACCGTCCGGTTATGGGAGGGTCAAACCCGATTTAGTAACGTATGGATCAGGTGTACGAGGTTCAGCATTACAAACCGGCTGTAGAACTTTGTCTGGGACTTCGGTCGCAAGTCCGGTCGTCGCTGGTGCTGTAGCACTTTTAGCTAGCGGATTCGTGCAACCAGATGGATCTCAACCTGTTAAGCAAAGGGTAATTTCATCTTTAACTTTCCATAAGATTTCTCGTTGCTTCCCAGGAAAAATCATTTAATTGATGTATTATCGATTAAGATAACTCCGGCAAGTATGAAACAGGCTTTGCTTGGTTCCGCGCGTCGTTTACCTGGAGTTGGAATGTTCGAACAAGGTGCTGGGAAGTTGGATCTATTGCGAGCATTTCATTTCCTACGGTCGTACACACCGATTGCCACACTTAGTCCAAGGTAAACAAGATTTACATGTATGATAACTTAATTGTTATCGACTATTACATATGAATTATTATACCAGCTATATAGACTTAACGGAATGTCAGTACATGTGGCCATACTGTACACAAGCTGTGTATCATTCTGGTATGCCTACGATTGTAAATATAACAATAATAAATGGTTTGGGTGTATCTGGACACGTAGCCGATCTCGTTTGGCATCCGTACACCGGCAACGGCAACGGTGACCGAATCGACGTATCGGTGACTCATAGCGATGTTCTTTGGCCATGGTCTGGATGGTTAGCAGTTGCTATAACTGTTCCGTCGGCTGCTCGCGATTGGCAAGGCATAGCTCTAGGTTCATATCTTTTCATTGCTTTAAGTTATACAGGGTGCGGCGAAATGCAACTCGTTTCATTTTCAAATTTCATTTCAGGTCATATATCTGTTACAATTGAATCACCACCGAGTGCCGGAGAAGAGAAAGTGAGACAGTCGAAAATAGAACTACCCTTAAAGGCAAAAGTGATTCCTACACCGCCACGTCAGTAAGTATAAAAAATGTTAAGTATAGTTCAGAACTTTATGATATAATTAGGGATTAAATGATATCTTTACTTGGTAGTAAACGCATTCTATGGGATCAATATCATAATTTACGGTATCCTCCGGGTTATTTCCCACGAGATGACTTACGTGCAAAGAATGATCCACTCGATTGGAACGGTGATCATATCCATACTAATTTCAAAGATATGTACCAGCATTTACGTAATGCCGGTTATTATTTAGAAGTATTGGGCGCTCCGTTCACTTGTTTCAACGCTAGGAACTACGGTACCTTACTTATAGTTGATACGGAGGAAGAATTTTTTCCTGAAGAGGTACTGTTACATGCTGAAATGTATTAAATGCATTTTATTTTGTAACAAACTAATGGAACATCGTAGGTGGCCAAACTGAGGAAGGATGTAGACGAAGAAGGTCTTTCCGTAGTCGTGTTCGCAGATTGGTATAATGTTACCGTTATGAGGAAAGTAAAATTTTACGATGAAAATACAAGACAATGGTGGATACCGGATACGGGAGGTGCGAACGTACCAGCGTTAAATGATTTGTTATACGCTAACTGGGGTATTGCGTTCGGAGATCAAGTACGCAATGGTCAATTCAATCTTGGACAACACCCAACTGTTACTTTTGCTTCTGGTACTACAATTACTAGGTAAAAAGACATTTGATGTATCCGATCATCGTATTATTGAGCGATCATGTTAATAAACTTTCTTGTTGTCAAGGTTTCCAAAGGACGGCGTCATCCTTTATGCAGAATTGGACGATCAAGGACAAGAGCTTCTTCTTGAATCGGAATCAAAATCGACAGCTGCAGTGCCGATTCTTGGAATGTTTCAAACGAACGGTCACGCAGGCATGAAAGGAAACTATCCGAACAACCACGGAAATAACGAAATAACTGATAAAGAAAACGTGGAAAAGAATAACATGAAGGACCAAGCAAATGTACCAGGTAGAATTGTAGTGTATGGAGATTCTACTTGCATCGATGACAGTCATTTACAGAAACGTACGTCCCCATTATAACATTACTTCTCTAACTAATAATTGTATCTTTACGAGAGAAAAAATCGAACTTTTATTTGCAGCCTGCTTTTGGATGCTTGATGCTATACTAGAATATACAACGACAGGACATATTGCGACTGTTTTTACCGATGACAAACAAACTAAGGCAAAGGTCCTCGAAAAGTCCAGTTTGTTAGACAGTAATGAATTACCGCAACGCATGGAAGGAAGTCATTTAAAGCGCCATAGCAAAGTATTACTGCCTGAAAATACTAACGCTGGTCATATCAGACCACTCCCACCTTGTCCTATAGTAACTCCTGCCAATCCGAGACCTCTGAACGAGTCTGTCCCTATGTAAGTCGCTAGAAATTTTACTCGGCAAACAAATTTGTTATATTATTATTATTCCCGAATCGGATTTCATTTCAGAAATCTTTATAAACCCCAGAAATTATTATCCGTTGGAGACCAGATAATAGCAATCAATCCGGTTCTGCAAGATTCGAGCCCGCTCTGGCTTAGAAGGCGCGTCGGAGGCGCAAACGTGCCTACGTTGCATCACGCGGAGCGCATTAATATCGACGATTTAAAGCAGAGCGAACAGGATGATAGTATAATATTTACAAGTAAGTGGACATACATGATAGGAGTATTAATCGTAGGAAGTATATTTCTTTACTTATTGAACCGATGGAATTGCTTAATAACGAAAAGGCATTCTCGAAGAAAACGAACAGTCGGTAGATTACGCAGAGTTATTCAAACTATTTCTCTACGCAGAGTACCTCAAATGTGATTGCGTATTTAACAGACCCTCGACTAACGCAAGATAATGTTCAATTAACTCCGGTGAACGCTTGAAAGATATAAACGAACTATATTATGTGCCTTTAAATATATAGTACTCAACGTAAATTTCAACGTTGTATAAATTATTTCGACGAATTCGATGCGTTGTTGATTCATCTCCGAACAGCACAAATTTTTGTTAACGAATACGAAGCGCAAGATTAATGCGCGGTTTTTCTTTTTAATTTCTTCGAAGAAAAGAAAATCAGGACTAAACTAAAATAGAAATTCATTGCAACAGTACGAATATATACTAAGGTATGTTAGCAAAAAACATGTAGAACAATTCACTTGATAAAGTAAAAGAGGATAGATTTTAGATTCCATATTGGTAATATTTTATATGTTTATATTTTTTCAAACATTTTAATCTTTTAATTTACAGAACACTTGCGTGATTTAGGTGAAAATGTGTATAGGTGAAATATATATCATGTTATTTAATTAATATTAACTTGTGATACATAATAATTATTCGAGACTTTTATGTATATGACATCACCAACCATTTTTGTTACGAATAAATATGCGGTAAGATAATATTAGTCCAAGAATGTTACTTTGTAAGATAGTCTATAAAACGAAAATTCCATACGAATAAATCTGTTTTTATAAATATATATATATATATATGCATATATAAAATTATTTATTTAACAATACAAATATTTCAACGTTCATAATGCATTCTAAAATGCACAAATTACATTACATCTTAATTGTAAAACGGATTGTATGTAACCCAATGTGCCCTGTCCTGGTCTGTGGCAGACTTATGAGACGTGAAAATACTTTTGAAAACTTCTGAAGCTTTGGGATCCTTCGCTACGCTGTAATCGTCTTTGATCTTTTTATACGCTGGATCTTTAGCTTCTGTTCTATTGTTGTTAATCTTATGATGAGTTTTATCATCCTTCTTTATTTTCTTTTTAGGTACTTCTTCTTCCTTGACATCTTGCCCTTGATTATCTTCAGTGTGCTTTTGTTTTTTAGATTTTTTCTGTGTTGCCTTTCGGAGCACCATTTTCTCCTCCATCAATTTAAGATCGTCACCTTCCGCATTTAGTATAACGATATCCGTTTCAGTAAAAGACTGTTGGCACTGGTGGCATATCTTGCTCTTTACTTCTTTAAGTGCTCTTTCACTCATCACACACCCACATGACCACAAAAAGCAAAATTTGTATTTGCCGTTCATCTCCAATCCAATGAGTGGACAAATGTAAGGACTCTTTCCTTCGTCTGTATAGCAATCTCCCTTCTTAGCTTTGTTAGCCTCGAATGCTGGGTTTGGTGTCAAATTCAGAGCCTTAACATCTTTCAAGGTTTTGATATGTTGGGCTGATTCTGGAAGAGTAGTACGATCGAGAAGACCTTCCAACACTGATTCCTTGCTGTAAAGACGTCCCAAGCTGCAGCCAACCACTGGCTGTTGTAATGGTAACTGTCTTATTGTGCAGTGCCTCCATTTAAATGCTAACTCTGCTTCTTTATCTTTCTGCAATTAACATAAAATAAGATTTTATTATACGCAAATGTTTGAGTAACCAGCACGAAAAAATCAATACCTACACACAATATATGAATACAAAACAAAAATATAGGATTACCTGTTCTGGCTTCTTCTTAACCCTTACGAGCTCGTCTCTACGAGGTATAGTTCCACCATCGCAACCCATGATATGTTATAGAATCAAATCGAAGAACAATTTTAATCTATTTGACTCTAACAAGATTTACGTCAAGCGCTTTAGTTGGCAGTAGTCGAACGTTATTATGGATTATTAGAATGTGAAAGCCAGCGTTAGACACTGTCAGACTTCGACTTCGACTCGGACTGACTCGGACACACAGTCGACTACAATACTGCCAACATATATCGCGAGTATGATATTTATCGAATTTTACGAAATATAAATGCTTGGTAATCCATTTTCTATCGAGTTAAGGACAAAAGTGAAGGAAAAGTGTTTAAGGAAGATCGTCGAGTTTCGATTTAACGTGTGAGTTGTGATGTTAAACGGATCCGACTTGTTGTGGTAGCAGTGTTTGTCGCGGACGGATTCCGAGTCAGCTGATGCTACTCCCATTTTAGTTTATGCTTTAGTTGCCGGGCGGGTCGTATCGTGAGGCGGCAGCAGCACACAATTGTCATCACGTGAGGTCAAAATCACAATGGTTTCCGATGGTTTCTACGACGAGTGATTAGAACAGCGAATGTTTTGAATTTCCCGAGAAATTCAAGCATCTGCAGCGTTCTAACAACGGAGCCGGGATCCGAAGTGTCCGGTAAGTGAAAAACACTTTGTCTCTTACCCGAAACATGCCAATGTTAACGAGCCATGATCCCCCCGAGAATTGATCAAAACTGCTGTATTAACTCGTGTTTTGCGAACCAAAGAAGATTCAATTATTGTCAAACCTGGTTGCACTTTACGCTTTTAAACCGTGTAATATAAGACATCTTACATCTGCGCAGCGAGTGTCATTATATTTCTGAGACTCTCGCAGTTCTATACGCTTGACATATTTTTCTAAGAGAACCATCGAGATCTATCGCATTATCGATCTCAAAGTGGTTTTTTAACGGACGCCATTGAGTCATTTTGATAATAAGCACATCTTCGAAATAAGATAATTCGTATGAGCATCTTCTATTCAAGGACGTCTCTTTTGGTGTGCAATTCCGTGTACACTTGTCATTTTCCTATATATTGATCGGTCTGTGAGTTCGGCGCGCCATTCTTCCATTTAGTGTGTCACGTGGAAAGCGCGCCTAATTACATAATACTACAGTTGAAGAAATACGTCGTGCCACACCCGCTTCTTTTATTCAACAGTTTAACGCCTTGCACATCGTTTAAAGATGCCGAAAATTCGGAATTTTGTCCCGTCGATCGTCGTACGCGCGACAGATCGATGGACGACGTCGGCAAGGCCACAGAATAACGAATAAAATCAGTGAACGAGAAACGTTCAAAATCAGAGCAGGTGGTTGTTGACAAGCCTATAATGTATCTTTCTCATCGAGAATAAATTTTCAATTTGAAATGAATTAATGTCGACTTTAATCCTAATACAATCGCAAAATACAAAATCGTTACATCTCAAGTTGTATGGAGAGTTACAAAAAATGTAATAAGAAACTCGATACAGTCTCTTGTGTTAAGTGCAACGCATGTACTCAAGACTTGGAAAACGCAAAGGGTCAACATGTGTGTATAATGCAATGTTTCAGATACGATAAAATACTTATATTGGAACATTGTCCAAAATGACAGAATACTGGCTAATATCTGCGCCAGGGGATAAGACGTGTCAACAGACATGGGAAACGATGAACAACTTAACATCGAAACAGCATTCTTTATCGATCAATTACAAATTTCATATCCCAGACTTGAAAGTGGGAACGCTGGACCAGCTCGTCGGTCTATCGGATGATTTAGGGAAACTCGACGCTTACGTCGAGCAAGTGACACGCAAGGTGGCCACGTATTTGGGCGAAGTTTTAGAAGATCAAAGGGACAAGCTCCATGAAAATCTATTGGCTAACAATAGTGAGTACAGATACCGTTGTGCTTGTGTTTTTAGAACTTGCTCCTTAATTTAAGTTTGTATCTATTCTCTGATGGAAGGGAATGGATTATCGAACATCTCAGGGGTCCAAAATTATAAGTAACATTTTTTCATTTCACGTTACATTTCGTTGAACAAAATCTATGAATTTGCCTATTTCTCAGGATAATGTCACTCGATTTGTTTTTCTTTTTTTTGGACCCTTGCCGACAGGTATCGATCGATTTTTTGTGTACAATGTTTTAACAGTGATATAATATTGGTTGGTGAAGACATAAATGAATACCAAACACAAAACACGAAACATGCACACAAGTTAGAATGTTTCTTTGAAGATGATCTTAAACATGTATCGGTTGATTTCTTCAGATTTTAATTTGTTCATTGATAACGATAATAGCACGATTAGAGTCTTTAATCCTTATTCTCCTCAGTACCCTATATATTAATAGATTCATAAACGGAAACAAAATTTTGTCTGTGTAAACTCGTAACAGTATACCTAATAATTATTTTTTACAAGTTTCTCTTTAAAAGAAATATGTTCTAATCGAAGGGATAATATACAGGCAAAATACTTGTGGCTACTGCACATAGTAAATAACATTTTCGAGTATGATGTGTACCATCAACTTTGGAACTAACAAGAACAATTTCTGCACTGGAGCAGTATGATCATTTTTTAAAAAAAAAATCTTTATTGGAATACGTTTCGTAACTATGGAATGCTCACGTTTAACTGTGAAGTCTTTAATATTTTATTTGAAAACATAATGATTAAGCAATCTGTAGAATTATCTTTAAGAGCGAGTTTTTGTGCATATGTATTTTCATGAATGTATTTCATGTATCTCCTCATATAATTTTATAATCCATTTGAAAATCTCGAATTTCGTATTGCAAGACAGAAAACATGATGGTATGCATCATATTCTGGCATATAATTTATATATCTGTAGAATGCTTATTACTACAATTGAGTTAGAATTCATTTAATTTATTATTTAATACAGATAATTTTTCATATTCGTGGTGTTGCTTGGCTTGCTTTGTTTAATTTCGACCACATTAACCCTATTTCCCTACCTTATTATTTTATTAACAAATGCTCATACATGTGCACCATCAATGATGTATAAAGCTATGAAAAAATTTTTTAATACACGAAACATGCAGAGAGTATTCATCGGGTTTTTTGAAATACGGAACGATGATTCCGAGTGCATAGAAATCTGGACCATATGGACCACAATCTATTGTTAATAATTTAGAAAGGACGCAAGGAGTTGCTTGGGTTACTGTGGTCACCAAGCTCCAATTAGTTGTTACAAGGATTCTTTCCTTTTAGTTTCTTCAGTTATCTTCTGTTATTATTCTTTCGCATTATTAATTGTTTGCCACTTGAGTTTATTATCATTGCATATCATTTGCTCATCGGATCTTCAGTTTCTTCTGTTCGTTTCGATTGTGCATTGTTTTATGTTCCTTTTCGTTTTCTTCTTTATTTTATTTTCTTACTGCTTTCGCTTCGTCGGAGTATTTATCGAAAAATCTACTTCAGTATCCAGGTGTTACTTTGTTCAAAGAATTTTTCATTTCAAAAGGAAAGTGTAAATCGATGGTAAACTTTTAGTTTGAGTAGAAACATTTTTCTAACGACGAAGTAATGTAATCATGAGGTGCCATATCTTATTTGAGTAGAGGATACACGTCTCAATATTTTCAAAGTATAATTCTGTTAATATTCATACTTATGAAAATTGTATGATAAAAATTGGCGTCGATTTGTGGTATGGAAAGAGACTTCCACTTACGAGAGACGAATTTCTGAATTGAGAATCTTCGTTAGGATATCAGATCTTCTTACACGTTAAATACTCCGCGATATTTTTTTTCCTTTTTTTCCTTTTGAGTTATTTTTGATTGAGTTTCGACAGCATTGTCGTTAGGCATTTGCGTAGGACGCAATAATAGTTGAACGAGACGTATGAAAAAATCGCGCGGAGATTGGGACTGGGCTGTAATGGATAGGTCAAACTTCAATGGATGGGGAGAGCTCGAGCCCCGAAGGGGGTCCGGACACCCCGCCAAACACCCCCGTCACCCCATCACACAAGACTTCGAAGGAGCACCACAGGCAATGGAAGGATTCGGAGAAATGTGAACCAGAACTGGCCGCCTGTTTAGGTCAGCATCATCACCAACGTCATCATCACCACAACCATCATCATAATCATCACAACGAGCATCATCAACATCATCATCATCATCATAATCATAAACATCATGGCCATTCTTCCGATGTCGAAAAGAAATCGTCACACAGCCCTCAAGGCTTCTGTGATGTCCGTTCATCGAACGATCCCTTATCGGCCTATTCATGCTATCATGCGCATTGGTGCGCCGCTTCGACCTCTTCCACACCGGCTCCCAGTCCTACTCCGACGAGTCCGAGCCTGTCCCTTTCATCAAACTGTAGCAGTGAAGGAGAGACCACATGGCAGTCGGGGACCACGCGCCCTCGGACCACTGAGAAAGCAGATCGATCTACTTCCTCACGCAAATCGCTCGGCAATGACGACGACGAAGACGATGCGGACCAAAACAACGACCAAGACCAAGACCAAGAACATAGCGGCAATTTGCCCAATCCAGGTACCCGTCCTATCACCGCCAGGCCAACCCCCTCAGTCGGTACCTTATTTTCCGCCCAAAAACCCCCACCCCCCGAAATGAGAGAACATTATAGATGCGAAATTTGTTCAATACCTATATCTTTCCTGTGCACCTCGTGATTCGCCCGTTTTTTAGCGACCGATTCTTGTCTTGTCTTATCTCCTTTGGAGGTAGATATAGGAGAGAACGAAAGAGAGAGCGAGAGAGAGAGAGAGAGAGAGGTTGTCATTTCGTATGATACTTGAAAGTCTTAGATCGTTCGTGATCTTCGCATGCAGCTTTCGCTTAGAAGAACATAAACGGAAACGAGGATAATCGGAGACAAGTGTTCTCACTTTGGTTCGGGTTCCTCGGCCCAATCGCAGTAATAAAGAAGCGTCTTTTAATGATCCTAGTGCGCATTTCCTTCAGTGTCAATTATGCACAACTGCACTATATATGCAATGTTTGTAACGCTAAAGTATTTTACGCCAAACCTTGCCTCTCATGTATAATTGAATAATCGATAGAGAAGTCTTTCTTATAAATGTTAATGTGCTGTGTCAGATGAGAAAGCATTGCTTATTACGTACGTTTTATTTTCATTTTGTCGTCACTGTAATTAAATTTGTCACACTTTGTTATAATTGAAGTTGCATTCGTTGGAAAGACACAATTTTTCTTTGTACTTGTAACTATTTAAATATAGTTTATATATATATGTATATTTTTGTATATATTTGAGCCGTCGAAATGATGGAATATGAATATGTTAAATAGAAGTCATGACAATCTCTCTCGAGTGCTTATTACATATCAAGTGAGACAGTACCGAAAGGAAAATGGAAATGGCTTAGTTTTAAACTTAGCTTGCGACTTGAGCAACAGATCTACTGAAGTCTAGTATATCAAATATTTTGCGTTGTATCGCAGTAATTTCCACGTTGACGTTACAACCATGTATTTGATTTCTTGTGCACGCAGGAATTATAATATTGGAAGATAACAAAGACAGCTGCCCGTGTTCTAGCACATTTTAATTGCAGCAAATGTGCGTACAGTCTTAAAGTTTATTTTTTTTCGGGAAATGCTCTAGTTCGTTTTTAAGTTCTTAGCTAGCTCTTTTTTCACTCCTGCGTCCTAACGATAACTGAATACATATACTCCACAAAACTTTTATACAAACCAATAGACTATTCAACTTCAAAGACAAAAGAAAGAGAGAACGAGAAATTCGTCGTAATGATACGAAAGTATTCTCTGTGATTAACATCTTTCTCTCTCAATTTTTATTCTTCAAAATTTGACCGATTGTTCCAGGTGCTGTGGACGAATGAATGAACACATAGTGTTTTACCTTTACTCATTATCAACCTTTTTTACACTTCAACTGCTTCTTTTTATAATTTCTTATTCCATGTTCTCTTATACCATACTTTGCTTTAATTATCTTACGTACGTACGAAGTTTTCGTTACATATTATTTTTAAATGATACATGTTTAAATGCATACCAAATTTTATTGGACATCGTTCGTATACAAGTATTTAATGGAATTGAAAACACGTCAGCGTGATAAGTTATCCCGACATAATTATTTAATCATTTAATTAAGTTGTCCGTATGATTTAAGAATAACGTCGCGACGTTATTAATAATTAGTTTCGAGTATCGTGGACATCTGTGGATGCAAAATTCGTAACACGTATCTAAAGTATGGTTTAAGGACGATTGTACAGAGTTACGCTACATCCAAATACAGCTGAAACACTACTTCGTATAACTTTATTTCGTTCTTATATGTTTTTCAGCGTTTTTCCTATACCTAGCTTTCACACGCTTTCAAACCGTTACTTTCTATAATTTTTCATATAAAAGACAATACCGCACAAATTATAATACATATACACATGTGTATTATGGACGTATGGCACAGATTACAGATGAGACATAAGTAACTTGAGAAATAAAAGAAAACAGTTCTTAAACACTTATCGATCGGTACATGGACTTATGAGAATATTGTTTCGCATGATCAGATAGATTTTTGATGACAGTATGGTGCTCAATACCCTTCAACACTACAAGTTTTATCCATATCACAGAAAAACATCCTACTGATCAACTTTTATGAAGTACCTCATGAACAGTTAGCATGAAACGCTTTAAAATATATACTTAGCTTAGCTGTTTATGTGTCTATGTTACTATTGCTCATGCTATATCACTTAGGTCACTGATTTAGGCTACTCAAAAAGAAATTACGGTATCGCAAGATTCCCATTGAAAATTGCCCAAATCTGGAAGGTGCTTACTCAGCAACAAATAATCGAAAGACGACAATTTTTCATTAAGTTAGAGCTTGGAACCTCTACTATAAAATGCTATCTAGAGCTTTTTAATTTGACACAGACTTGGATAACTTTTTTTCGGTGATGACGTTTATAGCAAATGAAAGATTGATTCTCTGTCTTTAATTTAAGAGGAAAATTAAGTTTCTACGATTTTTTCATCAAATCATCATCCTATAATAATTTGTTGGTGAGCAATTATCTTCCAAACTTGGCGAATTTCCGACACAAAATTTCTTGATGCCATAATTTTATTTTGAGTAGTGTATAAACACAATATTTGGAATAATCGCATTTGAAAATAGATATAACAAACTCATACTGGTTACCAGTTACGTTTTAATAAAGTGTGCATGCGTGCGTGCGTGCTTATCCACTCGAAATTATCAATCAATAAATTTTTTACCGAAGAACATGCTAATGCGGCTTTGAAGATCAGCCTAGCTGCATAGTTGTCATAAATTTTGTTTGAATGAATATCCGATGAAAAGGAAGAAGAGCACTCGATGAGATAATAAAAACGAGGAAAACAGAAATTCCATTAAAATAAATCTTGTATACATTTGTACGAAGCATTGAATTAAAGGGACTAGCTGGAACTGCACGATTCATTCAAACGTGATTTACGAGAAATTCTTCTTAATTACAGATATATAAATATGTTAATTAATATTTCCCATAAAACGATCGAACGAGAAAAAAAGAGACGCTCGTGATAAGAGATAATTAATAATATAATATACTTCTATACGTTAATGTTTGCATGCCGTATTTTTGTTAATGTCTTGCTTATTTTTTGTAATGCTAATATGTAAGGAGCGTACTAGAATCGAAGAATAATTTCAGTAGAAACAGTCTTTCTCTGTTATCTCATTATTGTCAATACTCTCCTTATCACAGAGTCAATCTAAAAATTATTTTAATTGTGGTTCGGCTAAAAGTAATTTAACTAGATATTTACTCATATGCATATAATCTTATTGTACAAATGAAGGTTTTTGAAACGCAAGACAACGCACGTTCCTACTTTTCACCCTGAAGAAAGTAAGAAACATCCTCCTTGACAAAGAAAAATTCTATGCGCTCAATGAAAAGTTTAAATACGCTTCCAGATTTGCATATATTCCTGCATTTGTACAATACACTGATAATTCAACAGAGCTTTATCATATTTCAGCTTCTGAACTTTGTCGAATCATTAAAAAGATATAATCAGTACCGCATTTGTAAGCACATTTAAGCACTTAGTCTATTACGTGTGATTTGAACATTGCATGTTATTTTATGATTCCATAATTTCGAAACTTTTACAAGGCTCTGTTCGAATATTTCTATTTTAAACGAAAGCCCGTCTGTAACTATGGAACGATTACACTAATATTTTAAATTTACTAGGTGATCTACCGTCATATATAACTCGATTCCAGTGGGATATGGCAAAGTATCCCATCAAACAATCGTTGAGAAATATTGCTGACATTATCAGTAAACAAGTGGGTCAGATTGACGCGGATCTTAAAACAAAATCTACAACGTACAATAATTTGAAAGGGAGCCTGCAAAACCTTGAAAAGAAACAAACGTAAGCTGACCGGTGATTTCTATCCGATTTATCGTATTTAAGGATGTATTGACTATACAGTCAATCCCAAAAGTTTATGTACCTTAGAAAAACGCATTTCCTGTAATTAAAAATAGTGCACATTTCTTCTAATTTCGATACTTAAAGAGTTACATATGATTATTTGGCATTTTATTGATGTTGACAAAATCGGACCATTCCACCGTCGAAACGACGAACTTTTGGAAAAAAATTTCATTTTTCCTCAATAACTCCTAAACTGCTGGTCCTACGAGAAAATTGCATAGAACCTTTCTTGTAGAGGACGACGAGATCTATAAT